TAGGGTTTACGGTTTAGGGTGTAGGGTCTAGGGTTTAGGGTCTAGGGTTTAGGGTGTAGGGTGTAGGGGGGGGGGGGAGGTTTAGGGTTTACGGTTTAGGGTGTAGGGTCTAGGGTTTAGGGTGTAGGGTTTAGGGTTTAGGGTGTAGAGTGTAGGGTTAAGGGTGCGGTGACGTCATGGGTGCTCGCTAGTGCGTGAACAGACGTGCCAAAAGCCTGGGTGTTGCCGCGGCTTCATGGAAACGGGTGTAAGGTATGGGGGTTTAGGGTGTTGGGGTTCTTGTTTTTTTCGTGTTTCGGCTTGAGGGCTTTGAGGATTTAGGGTTTAGGGCTTAGGGCCGAAGTCACTATCATGCAGCATGCGCAGGGAGGCTGAGAAGGCACAGGCTGGCTCACGATGACGTCAGAACCCAATCCAAACTGTCAGCACTCACCCAAACCTCTTCGAGACTGCACCATACAGTTTAGGCCCTAAGCCCTAAACCCTAAACCTTGACACGAGGGACCGCTTCGAGAGTGGAGACCCGTCACTACCTTGGCTCCATAAAGTCAACCTTACATGAGAACCATGTACCCAACACTGGGCATATCAAGCTGAGGCGCGTAGTAGTTTGCACTGTTCTGACCGCAGTTTTGCAGATGCTTGGACTCGCCTGTCCAGCCTTGAGAGTGCCCCAGAAACAGCTAAGTTGCAAGATCAGCCATGCCTCTAATTTAACTGAGGCAAGAGTGATGATCACAAGCCGGGGCAGCATCTGGAATTACATGACTGGCAAAACTTTAGTATTTAAGAAGCTCATTCCGTAGAAAACAATTGCGACTGTTTCTCAGCTTCTTGCACTCAGTGCTTGGTAAATAAAAGAAAAAAGCGACGGCACCTGTCACCTGATGTTCAAGGCTTCAGATTATGTTGGGCTAACGTAAACGTAAATAGTTCAGGTGCTCTGGTAGATCATCCTAAAGTTCCATTGAGGTGCATACCGGGACGAATCTTCTGTGCAATTAGTCTTTCACTTTAACCTGCTCGAGCGCACCGACGGCCATTGCAGGAGTGTGCACTCATACAAACCGGAAATTCCCATGAAGGGCACAAGAAAGCGCCATGCCGGTCTCGGTAATTGCAAACATCTAACCCCAAAAGTCTCAGCTAGATTGTTTAGGGCTGTGTATTTGGTGATTATGTCAAATTTTAATGGCAGCCTACTATAGGAGAACGTTTATATCATTAGAACCACCACTGGAGGGACCTATCAAGAAGCACTTAAGCCTCCAGCGCAAGACCCAGCCATTCTTTCGGAAATCTTGTGGACGAACACGACCTTAAACTTGAACCTGAACCTCCAAGCACCAAACCTAGACTTTTCTTTTAAATGTGAACCCTGCCAGAGTTGCCTGGGAAAGCGCAGACCATGGCCCCAGTCAAAGCCGGAAAGCGCGCACGGTAAAGTGCGACGTGCCTTTGCAAGCTCCGGCTTCGTTTGACATGGCTGCAGCTTCAAAGATGTCTCCGTACCGACAGTTTTTCGCTGTAGTTGTGTCTCTCCCTTACTGTCCCGCAATCTGTCTGTCTCTCCATCTATCTCTCCCTCTCTCCCTCTCTCTCACTCTCCCTCTCTCTCACTCTCCCTCTCTCTCTCTCTCTCTTTCTCTCTCGCTCTCTCTTGAGTCAGATCCCCCGTTCGGCCACTAGAGCCCCCTCCGCGTAGGACTGACTTTGCGGGGATGTGAAAGCTGTTTGGGATGCAAACCTGTCACGATAAAAAGCTGACGGACCTGGACTTCAAGTTCTCTGTTTCCCTCTCCCTCTCCCTGTCAGTCTGTCTTGATTCTGTCTCTGTGTCTATCTCTCCCTGCCTGTTTGCTTGCCTGCCTGTCCGTCTGTCGGACAGCAATTGGAGGACAGGGAGATCGAAATGGTTTCCCTTCATAATTAGGACTGTCATCGCTTTTCCCAAAATGGCAATACTAACAGTAAAAGTTGCAGGAATTGTAATTGACGACCCTCGGGACCTCGTGGCTGAAGTGTTGGAGGATTCTTGAAGAAGACACTAGCCACCTTTCCGTCTCAAGGACGGTCCTAGGGCTCGGGGTCTCGAAAAAGGTGTGCTCCTGCCAGAGCACAGGCACTAATCATTACTCTTTACTTGCGGTGCAGGCGCTGTTCGCGTTTCTCCTTCCGCACTTCTGCTGACGGCACCTTCCACAAGACCATGAATGCTGCACCAGAGTCTTCAACGCATGGTTACAGTACAAAAGCAGCAGACGACCGAACATGAACCAACATCAACACCCATCATAACCGTGCACTTACCAGTAAAACCTGATTCCTGGGGATTACGACAACTAGGCTTGCTACTTCTGAACGGTGACGGCAAAATGACGACACTTGCGTTGACGATCGTGGCGGGGTGGTGAGTATAGCGTTGATCATGATGACCACTGGCTAATGACCCCTGATATGACCACAACCAATGGTATCTAGTTGACTGACCATCAACATGACTGAAACAATCTCTTCTATTTCTACTACTGAACATAATAATACTATTTGTAATACTAGTACTAATACTACTACGAAAAATATTACTAATACCAATAAAAATACTGATACTAACACTACGACTAAGACTAAGACTAAGACTAAGACTAAGACTAAGACTAAGACTAAGACTAAGACTAAGACTAAGACTAAGACTAAGACTAAGACTAAAAACTACGACTAAGACTAAGACTAAGACTAAGACTAAAAC